GGGGTCATAACTTGTAAAATTCATATCCAGACGATACCCCCTATAAAAAATATGAGTGTTAATACAAATCCAATTAAAACATAAAAAAAACATCACTAAAGCGTAGTAAAATTGAAGTTTACCAGTCGTCTTGTTGATTATATAAAGTGAAAAAATTATTTTGTGGCTGCTCATTTGCCGGTGGTGACAAGTTTAAATCAAGGCAAGCTCTTTCATCAGCAATCTGTCCGGCAAAAACTGCTCCAGAATAACCACCCGATGACTGGGGGTTATCCCTGCTATGCACGCCCTCATTACAGAGAACGTCTTCCACCTTGACGTACATTTCCAATAATTTTATTACAATAAATTCCCTGTATTCATCTGGAATCCGCAAAAAATCTCTAAGAGTTTCATCATCCTCGATGTTAAACTCAGAATAATAAGCAAACCCCTGCGGAGTCACTGAATACGGAAATCTACCGGTTACTTTAAGGTTAACCGAACGCCTCCGCTCACTTATTTTTTTACGTAACAACGATACCAATGTATCGTACTCCATAGTAAGCGGCAATTTAACATGACACTGTGGAGGTGAGCTATACCTCACAGAGTTATTCTCCACCACAGCCTCACCACCCCAATACAGTGAAACTCTTATTTTTGGCACTTCAGACATTGCAAAAAAATGATTGATAAGGAGAAGAGAGAATGATGAACGTATGTTTGAAGTTAAGTATTGAATGAATTTTCATAAAATTGAAACGCCTATAAATAAGGCAAGTCCGAGCTTGGGGTGTAGAATTTTTTAAACGAATTCGCAGTATTATACTGCGTTTTATGTATTTGAATTATTGTTATGTCAGTTAATTATTATTTGTGGGGCCAAAAATCAGTAAAAAGGGCAGTTCGCAGTATTATACTGCGAATTACCCTAATTCGCAGTATAATACTGCGAAATGCTTTTTGAAAAATAGCTGGGCCCATTTTTAAGCATTTTGCAGTATTATACTGCGAATTGCTAAAAAAAATTTTTTTTTAATAATTCGCAGTATTATACTGCGAAATGTTTATTAATGTTACTTTTTTTTTAACACTAAAAATATGCTTTTTGTACAAAAAAGCATCAAAAAAGTTTTGGACTCATAAATTACTCCAAGTTTCAGTGCCAACAGCCCAGACAAACTGCCAACCGACCACTATATTAAATGTGTAAATTTGTAATGTGCATTGTTATTTGTCACCTTGATAAAGGTAGCGTAGAGAAAAACTCAAGGAATTGTGCGGTCATCTATATACATGCATCACGCCCATTGTCTTCGTTCTCCCCTTTTAAAGCCTGTCTTCACGATAAAATCTCCTTAATTTTTGTTGAGGTTACTTTTATACATTAAGGGGTCGTTTAGTTTGAATACAGTTTATGCCGGTATAAGTTATGCTGGGATAAATTATGCTGGAATTAGTTATGCTGGGATTGTTTTTTATTCATTGTTTGGTATGTTGTATTAAATATGACAATTGCATAATTTGTAAGAAGAATGTATTATACCGGTGCTAATTACCCCACCCTCTATAAGGTGTAAGTTATCCCGGTGTTAATTTTAATCCTGGGATAACTTATACCTAGTTTACTAACCAAACAAAGTATTAAGGTGGTATTAAATTTTTATACCAGCACTATACCTTCTTATACCTCATACCAAACAACCCCTAAGGGGTGGTTTTACGATAGATAAGTAAAAATAATCCTAAGATAAGAATTTTGTACTGTCTTATCTCTTGTTTGGTTACTAACCACTAGGATAAGTTATCTCAAGATTAAAAATAGTACCGAGATAACTTATATTACCTGTCAGAGGGTGGAACAAAAATCCCAGTATAAAGAAGTAAAAATTGACAATCTCAAGATTAATACAATATGTCAAACAGTCAATAAGAAATAATACCAGGATAACTAATCTCAATATAACTAATCTCAGTATAACTAATCTCAGCATAACTAATCTCATCATAACTTTTCTTCAAATCAAATGACCCCTAATAATATAATTAATTCATCGTAGAATATCAAATGATTTAAAAAAATTACGAGTGATCGCCATAAAAAAGTGAAATTAGTAATCTAGAAAATAAGATACGTTGTATAATAAATATTGATTTTAATAAAATTCTTTACGCTATAAGTTAGATCGTTTCTAAGTGTATATTCTAAATATAAACAGGAAGTGTTATCCACATTTAAAGGCGAATCGACATACATAATATTTGCGAAGCACTATTTGTTGTACTATTTTTTCATTGTATCGACTTTAACTTGAAGTAGAGAATTTGACATCAAATTTCACTTTGAAAACTTTAATTTTTCTTCAGAAATTCATATCCAAACACAATTTTACTCCCAAAAACTTTTTTTCGACTTTAGTTTCTTCTCTTTTTTTAATTTCAATCAATATTTGTCCAAATGGGCTCTTTATTCTCAAACTATATACTAGGAGCAGTAGGATAAGATTATTAGTTTTTGATATATTATTTTGGCGAAATGGCCTCCTGACCACTTAAACTTGCACCCAATTACTAATCCGGTAAACAAAATTATAATTTTCCCATTTAAACACCTTAACTTGACAGAATGAATACTAATAAACACATCCAACCGAGTGTGTATATTAATTGCGCTGACATGTCAAACACGTCATATGCTAGACCATTTATTGCTTGACATGTGTTATTTGTGAGTCCCACTTTTAAAATTAATTTATCAAAAAGTTTATTTTATTTTTTAGTTTATTCTCCACTCACCTCCTCCTTCCGAACCCCCCCCCCCCCCCCCCTACCCCCCACCAAAAAAAAACCAGTAAGAGAAGATACTACCGGAAGTCTCCGACCAAACCCCAAATCCAAGACCAGCTTCCTTCATCCATATTCTACTTCTCTTTTTATTTCTGTTAAATTCAATTAGGAATAGAATTTTTGACAACCAAAAAACCTCAATGGCTGCCATCTCCGGTTCGCCGACGACCAACCACATAACCGCATCTCTTTTTTAAAAAGTCCCAAATCATAAGGGATAAGTAAAACCACACATCTTCATATCGGATCTGGCCGGAAAACTCCCAATTGCTCTCTGTCCTCGCTTAAGTTCAAAAGCCATAGCATTTCTTTATCCAAACTACTCACTATATTTGAGAATGAATGAGAAAACAAGATGAGAAATATTTGAAAGATAATGAAAAAAAAATTGGATAAAAAATGGAGTGGACTGATAGGAGATAATTGGGGAAGGGTTAATGGTGAAAAGAAGGTGAGATGAGAGACGAGCAGTGATAGCTAGCCTTGGGATGTCGTTTCCCTTTTCTTTTTTCATTTTTTATTTTTTCTATTGATTTTAGTATATATTTTTTAAATCAAATATTGTACTCACGCGTTATTTTTGCGTGATTGGCACGATTTTGTCCATATTACCTATGTCACTGCCACATAGGGGTGTGCATTCGATTTATCGATTCGATTTTGACCCTTATCGATAATTACTTATCGATTATCGATTTGTACATATGCTAATCGTTATCGTTTCAATAAGGTTTCGATTTTTTCGATTTCGATTTATCGATTTTGGGGGCTTATCGATTCGGTTATCGATTACACCAATAAGAAAATTTGCGGGATTCCACAGAAAGTATATCGCTATAAACGCGCCTAACTAATATGGACAAAAAGAAGCTAAAATAAGACGAACACCATTTATAATATAAAAATTGTGTCAACAAGCACATGCAACAAAACTAAAGTAAGGGATCAAATGTATGCCACCAACACTCCAACGGTATAAAAAAAAACAAAAAAAAACAAAACACATCATCACGGCTAATTCTGTTTTCTATTAATTTGAACTTCATTCCCTTGATCTTTAAATATGATCATTCCTTAAATGTGGTAGAGGAAATAATAGGGTAAGGGACTTAGGGGTTAAAATATCATGGTATAGCCAGTTTTCACACTGGTCAATGAAAAATAGCCAGCGTTTATCAAGTCAATGAAAAATAGCCACTATTTTGCTGCAACAGGGACCCGTCCAGTATAATATACGGGAGTTCTGGTGCATTTGTGTACGAACTCCAGCATATTATGCTTGACTGGTATACTTTGCTAACTCCTGTAAAATTTGCGGGAGACCGGAGCACCAGTGCTCCAAACTCCAGTATATTATACTGGACAATTATACTTGCTGGAACTCCCGTAAAATTTGCGGGAGTTCCAGCATAATTATGCTTGAACTCCCGTAAAATTTGCGGGAGTTCCAGCATAGTTATCCTGGAACTCCCGTAAAATTTACGGGAGTTCAAGCATACTTATGCCGGAACTCCCGTAAAATTTGCGGGCGTATTTTTCCGGATTTTGAACAGTGTTTTCGCTCAAATTTAAAGTGGCTAAATTTCGATGACTTTTGAAACTTGGCTATTTTTCAACGACCAGTGGTAAATCTGGCTATTTTTGAATTTCTCCTGACTTAGGGTAAAGGAAAGGGTATAGATTAGGGAAAATAATATTGTATAGCCGCTTTCAAAATAGTAGCGGAATATATATACATTCTGTATGTTATATTAATCTACACAAATAGGTAATTACTCATTTAACAAGTGTCTACAGTCTAGGGGTGTGCATTCGATTTATCGATTCGATTTTGACCCTTATCGATAATTACTTATCGATTATCGATTTGTACATATGCTTATCGTTATCGTTTCAATAAGGTTCCGATTTTTTCGATTTCGATTTCGATAACAAATAATCGATTCGATTTATCGATAAACCGATTCGAATGCACACCCCTACTGCCACATAAGCATAGTCAACGGTCAAAGTTGTTTATTAGTATTCATTCCCTCAAGTTAAGGTGTTCGAATGAAAAAAGTATATGTTTGTTTACCGAATTGGCAATTGAGTGCAAGTTTAAGTGACCAGGAGGCCATTTTGAATGTATCCATGACCTTTTTAAGTCAGAATTCTCTTCTACCCACTCATGCACACCCACAGCTTTTAAGCTATGGATTTGTTCTGCCCACCCCTTCACCTCTTCATTTTTAGTGCCATAGCCTACTCTTCTCTTTGCTCTTCTCATTCTACTTTCTCTGTATATCCCAAACTCTTTCTCCCTTCTCTCTTATTTGAACAAAAAATCCCAAGTTCATAACTTTCTGAAAATGGGGAGTATTTCCCCACATACTCAATTCATTTTCTGCATTCTTACTCTCCTTTTCCTTTCACTCACCAAAAATTCTCAAGCCATGTCAACAATCACAGCAATGGCCAAAGACCAAATTTCTTGCACAATGTGCTCTTCTTGTGACAACCCTTGTCAGCCAATTTTATCCCCACCACCCCCTCCCCCTCAAATCTTTCCACCCCCACCCCCACCCACACCCACACCCACACCATCTCTTCCTCCACCCTCATCATCTGGCTATATTTGCCCACCGCCGCCACCAGCTTATGTGTCACCGCCAGGCAATGGCGGCGACAATGGTGGCAGCGGTGAAAGTGGTGGTGGAAATTATTCTCCATCGACCAATAATCCTGGATATCCCACTCCACCACCTCCAAATCCAATTGTACCATATTTTCCTTTCTATTTTCACAGTCCTCCACCACCTAACTCCAAATCCATTCAGTTAAAGAACCACCCTTTTGTCACTTGTCTCATTTTTGCAATTACATTTTTCTTTTTTACTTTAATTTGACCCTTAAACAAAGTCAGAAGTAATTAACATATTAATTTCTTTTATGAAATTAAATTTTATATTTCAGGTTTGTACAATGTGCAGATAGCAAGAAGAAAGGGCTAAAAGATAAAGAAGAGGAGCAAGAAGTAGTGGAGTAATAATTTGGGGTGCCAACTATTTCCATAAAGAAAGGATCTTGATTGATGACATGACATTTTTCTGAAAAAAAGCAGTAATCTTTACTATTTTCTTTTCCAAATGTTGGTGATAGAATAAAGTGGCTTTGAGAATTATTATGGAATTCCTGAGCCACATTCTTTAGTTGTATACTTGTAATCTAGAATGAACTTAAGGATGGAAAAACCTTCAATATATATGTTGTATTTTGCACCATCATTTCTTCAAAATATACATCAAGTTCTCTAATATTCATGTACTTATGATATTGTTGTTTCTTTTTTATTGTGAAGCCAAAGGTTCATATGTGCAAATTAAGTTTTTCTGTTTCTCGCTCGGTCCAACATCCGATTTGGGGTCTTAACTAATTTGGATTGCGCCATTTAAGACCTATTAAAGGAGGAAGCGCTCCCTACTAGAAATATTTTTACTGATTGGTGGGATACCCCTAAGGGGTGCACCGCCAACCTTAGATCTTCTATAAAAGGTTCAAGTGTAAACATACATGCCGGGTCCCCAAAGATAGTGAACTATGCTTGAGCATAGCGAAGCCAAAGGAAACTCTAGTGAAGGTTTCCAGCGATACTGACGTGCAATTCGTTCGTCTGACTTGGGTATAGGGGCGAAAGACTAATCGAGCTGATTCCCTCCGAAGTTTCCCTCCGGATAGCTTTTCAGATTCGAACTCGAGACCTCGGGTATAGGAGCAAAAGACTAATCGAGCTGATTCCCTCCGAAGTTTCCCTCAGGATAGCTTCTCAGATTCGAACTCGAGACCTCTCGAAACCTCTGTTTATTCATCTTATACCACAATGTTTGTGTCGGCAAATTAAGTTACTATAATGGGAAATCAGTTTGGGGTTGGCTGGAGGGCACTTAGAGAACATGTGGAGACTGATGAGTAGAAGCTGGAAAATTTGGCAGTGATATGATTTTGGAGTGTGAGGTGTGGCCCCTTGAGTGTGGAGATTCGTTTTTTATTTGTTTAGGTCCTGTTTCACGTGGCATATGTCTTATATTTCGCATTTTATGCAATTTCCCATGCAAATACTGCTGTTTAGAGAGATATACAAATAGCTGTTTGCCAGCCAGCAGCGGCCTCGGCGTTGCAAACACAACTCAAATATTTTTAAAATATAGTATGTTATATAATAAACACAATTCATTGAATATAATTTGAATCCTTTAGCATATAGTCAAACAACCTAACTAGCCAATCTAAAGAGTGGCGACTCCTCAGCTAGCCACTTTAGTAACAATTTAAAGACTTGATCTTAAAGAGTTACTTACTCCGATTCATAATAAGTTACTCCGGTTCATAATAAGTGACCAATTTGCTTTGGGCACACCCATTAAGGAAATACTAAATTCTAGACGAAAATAGTTAGTGTGACTAAACTACGCTTCATCAAATATTGCACCATAGTTATAGCAGCACTTACTTCTCTTCTCAAATGTGAGAAGTAAATGACTTTTTAGGGATACATACATAATAGTAATTTGGATAAACAAATTAAATTTTTTGTTGATTATATAAATGCACACTTATTTTGGACCAAAATAAAAAAACAAATTGGCCACTTATTGTGGACCGGAGGGAGTACATGTCTGGCGAACCAATGTCAAACAGGACACAAAGATACACCAAATCAATTCCTTTGACCAAGGACAAAAACAAAGGCACTAAACTAATCTCCAATTTAACATTCCAGCCGATTGACAAAAACAAACCAGTTTCAAGTGCAGGCACAATTCCAGCAAACCCAAAAAAGGAATTTAACATTACAGCAGATTGACCCAAAAAAACCAGTTTTCAATGCATGGATAATTCGATCAAACACATAAAGGAATTTAACATTCCAGCAGATTGATAAAAAAACAGTTTCAAGTGCAGGCAATCCAACCAAATCCAGAAAAGCAAATGATAGTGCAAAACACTAGGATAGAAAGCAAATGGAAACAAGTATGTTTTTGCTGTTTGCTAAGACATCAAACTCTCGTATATGTAATATTTATTACAAACAATATACTGCCCCGCATCTCCTGAATGAGTCCATGAAGGAAATATTTTCTAACGTTATGGGAATCCCACGTATGACTTGTACATTCACAAGGACAATAACATATACTATATAAATATGCATATTCCACCACCACCGATATATCTAGGGGAAGAAGGTAACTAATACAACAGAAGCTCACTCAAAAAGCAGAAGCAAAAAAAATATATGGTAAAACTCGACACCACCCCCCCCCTATCCCCCCCCCCCCAAAAAAAAATGCAAGGAATTTAAAAAAAAAAAAAGACGACTCTACACATTTTTCAAACAGTCCCTTCTAGTTTTCCATCCGTTTCTCCATGCCAGCCTTTGAGAAACAAACAATTTTGATAACATCCCTTCAGGAATAAGTTAACCTGGATGAAAGAGGATGCTGTGTCCAATCTGAAACCACCGACTGACCTGCTGGCCGAACCTGGAAAGAATCATAGCAAAGATACAGATTAAGAAGAAGTTTTAACTGCTATACATTCCATTAGTTGGTTCAATCAAAGGCAAGGCTACTATTTTTACACCATGATACAGATCATTCAATCAACTGCTGCTCAATCCCAAATCAGTAGGTTGGCTGACCGAATCCTCTAATCCATTTTGCTCTTTCCAGGTCCATTTCATTCTAACAGTAAATATTTTACACCATAATACAGATGCCAAAAGAACAAAACTCTTAAAGGCAACAATTGTCAGCAGATAAGAAGTAATCATAAAAAGGGGAACAATAACATACCTCATGAACTGAAGTTGAATCCTCCTGATGGAAGAGGTAGTTCACCCCCTCCAAAGTTGAATCCAGATTGTTGAGCATCAGCTGATGGAAGCTGCTCATCGTCCTCTTCCAACCAATAAGTTTCGAGGATCTTCACTGCCTTCTCATAGATTTCAGTGTTGTCATGGCTCTGGAGGTTTTCAATCTTCTCTAGACCTTCAGCCTCGTCGATCAATTGGGCATAAACATTCACGCCTTCTGTGTTACCTAGATCCTTATCAGCTTCCCCAATCTTCAGAATATTCTCAAGCCCTTCCAAGCAGACTGTGACTATTCTTGGGTCAGGACAAACCAGAAGATCGCACAATGGCTTTATACATCCTTGGCTCACCAGGAACCTAGAAAAAAATTTACATATGAGCTTGAAACTAGATATAAGGTTAATTGGACGAAACTGAACTTTTTAAAAGGAACTATACTTGATCTGATCGTGATTTCCACCGGATGTAGCATTTGAAATTGCCCAAGCAGCCTCTTTCTTTATCTCAAATTCAGCATTTTGTAGCAGATGGACAAGAGGGGCAATAATGCCAGCCTCAATCACAGCCTATTTCAATTAAACCTCTTTAGGTATCATTATACATTACTGAATCACATTGAAAAAGTTCTCTTTCTCTCACTTATTTTCACTTATCTGTAAAGTGATAAAAGAAGCACATAAATGTCCAATACAACATACCTGAATTTGATTTCGACTACCAGCTGTAATGTTCGAGATTGTCCAGCAAGCTTCCTTTTTAATGCTTTTTTTGTAATTTTGCGTCAACAGGTTAAGAAGGCAGGGAAGAGCATGATGGTCAATTATAACCTAAAATTCAGAGTGAGTTCATCAGTGTTCCCAGAGAAAGAATCAAACTTTTAAATTAGGCAAGACATCCTTTGCTTTAATAAACAATTAATTTTGAATTTTTGTTTATTTAATTTTCCACTTTCCACCACGTTTGAAAATGGAAGAGGCAGCAAATATGAGACGTGAGCAGGCGCAGAACCCAAAGAGGGCATTGAACCTTCACAATGTGCAAATAAAAGGATACCTCTGCCTTACAATATACCTTTCAGAGCTTCCCCACCTTGGTAGGAGAAAAAAAGGATTACAGGAGAAGTTTACTCAATTTTCGCTCTCCTTTCGCTTCAAAATTTAGAAACTCTCATCTCTACCCTATTTCCTCCTCCTACACACTCAATTACAACAAATCACTTGAGTGAACAAATGAAGTTCCTGAGAGAGCAAAAAGGTTCAAAACAGAACGAGGTGGTACAATACTACTCCTCCTGTTGGCAGCGAAGCAGATGAGGCTTTATTCTAGCAATGATCATAACAGAAACACACCATAAAGCCCCTATCCAAGTAGGCAAATGTGAAAATGAAGTACACGAATGAATTAGCAAAGAGCCAAAGATTTTAATTAGCAACCTCTCCTAAACATGGCACAAAAATGTCTGCCAACTAAGTTATGCAGCCAATTGACTAGTCCAATCTTAAATATCATCTTCTCTTTGATATTGAAACATAGTTGACTATCAGAATTATTCCAAATATTGAATTATCATGGATCAAAGCCAGATTCAATCATATTTTTTTGTCTACTGTGCAATAATTTACCCAAAAGAAAAAAACTCGACATCTGATATACTGATGGATTAGATATTGAGAATTCATGTTTTCACAGAGACTCACTTAAGAACTAGAAGAGGAAAAACTAAAAAATTTCAAACATGAAGAATTGGGAAAAGCAGAGAAATTTATATGTATTTCCCATGGGAGGATAATAAATACCTGAGTTTGGATATCGTCTCCAGTGACAATATTACCAACAGTGCGCAGGGCAGGAATGAGAACAGATGGCGAAGAATGACTACACACAAAACGAAGATGAAGACAATGCAGAGCATCAGAAGATATGATTTTGGCACAACGAAAGCCCGAAACAAACCCCAAAAAGTAAGATCTATGACTCACAGTAGCAGCTCAACAAGGCGGGGACACACTCCAGCTTCAATAACAGCCTGGATTTTGTCATTAGTTCCATCAGAAAGATATGATAGAGCCCAGCATGCATCTGTCAGGACTTCTTCATCATTTGAGTGGATAAGTCGAGCAAGAGTGGGGAGTGCCGCTTTTGTCTAAGCAATGAATTTCAAAAGGAACAACCTTTAATAATAAAAATCTGAAAATATTAAAACAAACTTTCTTTTTTGAGTCCAACCTGCTCGAACTGCGGCTGAGGCTTGCCCCTACAAAAGTTTGACAATGTCCAGGTAGCATTTCTCAACATAGATAGCTTTGCATGCTCATTGAATTGTGCCAGCAATGGCGCTAAGGCTCCATGGCCAAGCACAAGGTCACGATACTTGGGTGAGTCACCAGCAATATTGCCCAAAGCCCAAACTGCCTATAAAAGTGAAAACATCAACATAAAAGAACTTCTAAGAAATAAAT